GCAGCCACTCCCAGCAGCCACTCCCAGCCCTGGTGCAGCAGCATCTTGTTGGGTGGCAGGATCGCCTTCCGCCCACTGGAGCAAGGTCTGCATGGTGCCGTTCTGCCCTCGGGCCATGCTCAAAATGCTGCTCAGCCATACTGAAATAAAAAAGGCGGGGATTTTCTTCCCTTGGTGAGAAAGTGTGGAGGTAGAAGAAGCTGCTGCTTCATCCTGCCGTCTCGTCCGAGGTCTCTGCGATTTGAACCGTGCAATCCCCTCCCACTCATTCACTGTTTCTCTGCCACCCCCCACATTAGGCAGCACCAGCAATCTCAAAACCCACCTGCGGCTCCACTCCGGAGAGAAGCCTTACCAGTGCAAGCTCTGCCCGGCCAAATTCACCCAGTTTGTGCACCTCAAGCTGCACAAGCGTCTCCACACCCGGGAGCGGCCCCATAAGTGCATCCACTGCCACAAGAGCTACATTCACCTCTGCAGCCTCCAGGTCCACCTGAAAGGTAACTGCCCTGTGGCCCCAGCCTCTGGCCTCTCCATGGAGGACCTGAATCGGATCAACGAGGAGATCGAGAAGTTCGACATTAGTGACAATGCCGACAAGTTGGAAGAAGTGGAGGACAATATCGACCTGACATCAATCGTGGAGAAGGATATACTGACCATGCTCAGGAGGGAAATGGAAGGAGCTAATCTGAAAGTGTCTCTACAGAGGAACCTGGGAAATGGACTTGTCTCCTCAGGATGCAACCTTTACGAGTCGTCAGATATGTCAGTTATGAAGTTGCCTCATGGTCACCCGCTACCTCTGTTACCTGTAAAGGTCAAGCAAGAAACAGTTGAACCAATGGACCCTTAAGACTTTTTGGCAAAGTGATTTTTGTTTTTTTTTTATTTATGACTTGGCAAGTCAGGGTGCCTGTAGCAGTTGCTTGTACATAGTTTCGATGCTGCAAAGCAATCTTGGCTTACAGTAGTTTCCCTACGCTCTCCAGCTGAAAGAAGGAACTCCAAAGTTGCTGTTTTCTCAGGGCATATAAAGGGGCAAAGGACTGCGTGTTGCCTCGCCAGTTAATAAAAGACAATCATCTATCCATAATTATTTTTTCAATGATAGTACTTCATAATTTATTATGCAATTAATCGTTCTAAAAGCAATAATTAGGAAAATGTTTACAATGACTGGAAAATTCATTGTAATTTCTACTTTAAATGTTTTTATTTTTTGTTTTATGGCCGTTCTTTGTAGATACTTTTTTCTGCACATCTGTTTTCAGAACCTAAGACTGGGGTTTCAGTAAACGTGTTTTATGTACCAACGTCTTTTAAACAAATGGGGTTTTTCACATTGCCAAAGTTGGACATTTGACGTGCAGAATCCGAGATCTGTTGGTTTGGAAAAAAAAAAAAAAAAAAGCTGTGTATTTTTCTGTGCAAATCACCCCACTGGGAGTTGAAAAGGAGAAAAAAAAAAAAAAAAAAAAACAAAAAAACCCACCAACCCTTTTTTGAGTAAATCAGGAATCGGTTGGTTTGAAAAAAAAAAAAAAAAAAAGCTGTGTATTTTTCTGTGCAAATCACCCCACTGGGAGTTGAAAAGGAGAAAAAAAAAAAAAAACAAAACAAAAAAACCCACCAACCCAGAGTAGCAGCATGCAGGGAAGAAACTGCCACCCCTGCCTCTCTGAGGATGGGAGAGAGATTCTTCTACCTGCAGCTCTGCCTGGAACAGATGTGGCACAGCAACCACCTCCCTGCCATGGACAATGCCACAGGCTTTTAGAAACCAGCTCTAGCCCCACACATTGTCACGTAACTTTATGACCAAAGGAATGCATCAGCTTCAAGTGGCTCTTCCAAAAGAAAATCTCACTTATATTCTTGTCTTTCCAAAAGCAGTTTAAAAGCAAACACACAAGTATTCTTAATCTTCTGCCTAAAAGTAGAGTTTTGGCAGACTTATTTCTTCTCCCTCTTTGTTTTTTGGCCAGAGCCTTCCAGGGATGAAAAAAAAAAAAAAAAGATGGTCAGATTCCCTGAGGAAGAAGGGGTTCGGTTTTACTTGTATTTTCCTCTCCCACTTTGCCTGGGTAGAAGTGGGGAACAAAGTACTTTCCTGGCACATATATTTTTTTTTTCTTCCTTCCTCTACAACTCAAGATTTTTCTCAGTATTTGTGTTTGTACATTTTGTGGTTAATTTAAGTAAAGAAGAAAAGGGCATTGCAAAGTTGTTGAACAACAATTACCTCAGTGCTTGTGTCCAGTGGTGCAGACAATGCTGTTTTATCTAAATGCTTTGCTACTTTAGAGAAGAAACCAAAATGTGCACAGGGAAAGATAGAATGCACATCCTTTTATCTTTTTGTTTTGCTAAGCCCAAAGATGATACGGTGACGTTTGAGGTGTAGCAAAGAATACATGTATATTTATAGATATATTTATACCACTATACTATATATGTATATGTATATATATTTATACCACTTAAGTTGTGAGCCAAACCATGTAATAAAACCTATTTTTCATCTAAGTGTGAAAATCAGATGTTATCCAGTTTTGCATATGACCAGTGACCTCAGAACCAGAAGGTTGTACTAAGGCATTTATTTGCTTGCCAGTGCACACGCACAGCCGCCCGGGTGACACCTGAACTTGCAAACCTCTGATGTGAACCATGTCACCCACGCGTGGCATCTCAGCAAATTCGGTGGGAATGACCCTGTTTGCAGGATGGGAGTCTTTGGTCCCCTGCTCTCCCGGCAGTGCGTTCTGGGGGGAACGAGGTGGGTGGTCAAGTGGACAAACAGCCACAAAATGTCAATGAAAGAACTTGAAAAGGAGACAAATATGACCCATGAGTGGTGTGTTCATAGAACACAGTGAAGGGCAGAGCAGAAGTTAGTTGGGATGAGCACCTTGTCCCGTTTTATCCTGCCCTCAACAAGTTGCTTGGTCAACTCCCATAAATACAAGCAGTACCATTTACACACCTCCTCTCCATGTAGGTCTTTTTGTCTGGCTATATTCTTACAAATTTTGAAATAGCCTTCACTTCCACTTCATCCTTAATTCAGTGACCTTTTTTTTAGCAAACCTCATTTTGATGCCTTCTGTTAAAACACAAACCAACCATCTTGAAATACAAGTTTCTCAACACAGCTTTTGAAGGACTACAGTTCATTACATTTCCACTCCTGCAAATTGTGAGGCTGACATCTTTTAAATGTACCAATAGTTCATAAATATAGTACTTAACTTGTAGGATAAACCAAAGTATCACTACTCTGTCACTGGACACACACTTTTCCTGTTATTTGCCTGTAGTGCTTTCTTGTATTTGATACAGATTTTACAAGAATTTATATGCATCAGCGTTAAGAATTGTTACTTCTCTTTACTGTTTCCCCCTTCCCTTAGAAGTTTTACATGTGAATGTAGCAACAATCAACAGTGTTTTGGGGGTTTTTTTTTTGTCTCTCCTAAGAAAGACTCTGACCAAAGTTAACAGGCTTTTTACTTTGCTAGAACGACAAACTTATCCTATGTTTACGTATTGGTTTACATCATTATTTATGTGCAAAATTGTCAAATGTAAATTAAATATAAGTGTTCATTGCTTTACCCATGCTTCCCTTGTCTTCAATCTCTCTGCACAGACCTGTGTGTCCCCTCCCGGCCGCAAGCGCAGGCACCGAGGGCGAGGAAGTCTCCGCGATGCCGACTGCTGCCTTGTGGGCTCTGGTTTTCCATGCTTGAAAGTTGCAAACGGCAGTGCCAGAGTCAATGCCCCTGGCTTGGTTCACTACAGTGCTCCCGTCAGCTTTAGCCAACAACAAAAAGTGGTGGGATTGCGGTTTGGTGTTTTGTTTTGTTTTGTTTTTTAAACCCAAGAATTTACAGTGTTTTGATGGAAAAACTTGAATGCTATCTGCCTCACAGATATGTGACCAGGGTTCTCATTTACATTTTCCCAAATGATTGTCATTTCTGGTCTGAAACCCTAACCACTGGGACCACAATGACACACTCAAAATGTCAGCATGAGACCACTTAGTCCTGTATCAACGCAGTGGGAACTGCATTCAAAACAAATGTGGATCTGTTTTCACTGCTCACAGAGGAGATGTGAGTGCGAACCAAATCCAGGAGAAGGTCAAGCGTCTGTTCCTCCACCACCACCTCAGCCAAAAAGTAACAACAGGCCAGGATGCCCCACAAAAGTTAATTCAACATTTGCTACTTCCATCATTTACCCTGAGATCTAAACCAGAGAGGCCATGTGCTGCCCTGCCTTACCTGAACGTTAAAGATATAACGTTCTTGCTCATATTGAGACACTCAGCTCTCTATGATGTTTTAAAAGTATTTCACTGTCCTCTTAAAAAATTCATTTAAACATCTGTCTCAAGAATTTGAAATTCAGCCAACATCGAACTGTGGAGTTAAGAAAACCAGAGCACTGTTGTCATAAACGTGCCAAATGCAGCATGTTATATTCCTATACTCGACAGAGCTATTGCTGTAATAATTTTTTTTAAAAACATAGGATAACCGTTACCACCATAAATCATACTTCATTACTTGGCAGAGCATTAGGCTGCGCTGGAGAGTTATGTCCTGGGGACACTTGTAAGCTTTAGAAGATGTTTAATAAAACGCATTACATAAAAAGACAATGCACGTTATAGATCACAGCCCGGCGAAGCCGAGCCCGGCAGCTGCCGCACTGGTTCCTGGCAGCCCCTGCGCCGGCTGGAAGCTGCTGAAGGTGTGTGTTGCCTCCAGAAATACAGCCAGTTTCAGCCATGGCAGCACCAAACCATAACAGCAGCAGCAAGGTGCAGGGGGGCACGGCTCGGTGGTTTGGGGGCTGCCATAAAATGCGGCCCTGCAAGGCCACACGCCCCGGCAGAGCCATGGGGTAGCCATCTACGGGCAGGCGGGCTCGACGTTGGGGCACCAAGCGTGATGGGGCCGGGAATGCGACGTGCACTTTTCCTCCATGGCTTTGCTGGCTGAGGTGCTTTGCCGTGGGACGGGGCGAATTGCAGCTGAGATGATAGACTCCAACACAGCTTTCGGGAGGATCCTGCCCTTCTGGCTGGTTTGCAAAGCCCGGTGTCTCTCAGGTGGGTGCTGGGGGAGACACCGCTAATTCCCAGCGTGGGCAGTTGTGACCTTGCGGTTGAAAACGAGAAACGTGACTCACTGAGGGAGTACGAGCCCTTGGGGTTCAAATCAGCAGGTGCTGGTGCATGGCTGCCTCCCAAGGCGTGCTGGGCCCGCACTCCACGCAGGATGCAGCCCAAACCCTTTGCTGTCGTTCAGAGGCATTACGTTAGTGCAAGGGAAATAGTTGTGGCCATAATTAAAGGCAGCCAGGAAACACTTGGCTAATTACTACGTGAGGCAGGGCTGAGTGGATGCGGCGTGGCCGAGGAATGTACCCGTCATGGGGCAGCTATCTGCAAAACACAGGCCGTCAGCGTGGCCTAAGAAAAACTCACCGATGGCATCGAGGTAGCCAGCCGCGCACCGAGACAGAGGTTTCCCTCCTCCGTGAGGGGCTGGGGCAGCCTGGCAGGGAAAAGGCAGCTGCCAGGGCTGGAATGTGGGGGGCACAGATGGAAATTTTGGCAACTTTGGCACTAGCCAGTCCTGCCTGAACAGTGGGAAAACGTGACTATTTGTCAAAGATGCAACATTTCCCAAAAACACAGCTGTTTAATTTTCATCAGGTGCTGAAAAAGGGCCACCCTACAGGCAGCAGGGCTGCTGCCGTTCCCGTTCTCACAAGCAGGACATGGAAGTGCTGGCAAAGGGCACATTTACACACCCATCAAGACCACATTTGCACTAATGGCAGTCAGCGGCAGAAGGCTCAGGAGTTTCCAACACCCTGGATGACTCTGCTGTTGCTCATTTTTAAAAAAGTTTGGGGAAGATTTCCCAGCAATTCACAGTGGT